GGGGAAACACCATTTCTTAACAAAAGACAGGATCGTAACAACGGTAAAGGTTTTCATACTTTCAAGATATCAAAGATGCCTTACCAGGGTGTTTCTGCAGCCAGGTATGAATTCTGTATACCTGTGTGTGGAAAAGATATACCGATACGTGAATAGGATACAGAGGAGCAAAAGTCCCCAAAGAAGAGAAGAAAATTTAAAAAAACAAAAAACAACAGGTTTTTGAGACGATTACCTGAAATAAAATCCACAAAAAGAGATAACAAAGTCGCTCCAGCCAATTTGCCATGAGTCCTTCTCTTGTTGCAAAGGATAAAGCCAAGTCTCCGATGAGATCTCAGATCACGGTGATAATAATAACATTAATAATAAAACCACCAGTTCTCCATCATCACCTTGTCTTCTTTTTAAAGAATGTATTCTCTAATCATCCGTACAGCAAACCCGTTCCATTGATTGGTTTGTGGGAAGGAAGGGGGGGGGGGAAAAAACTTTTTCCTGATGTCCAAGAATTAAGGTTTTGAGAGGTGGAGTCCTTTCATGGCTGATAAAGACATTCCAGCAAAGAGAGGGAGGAGGAATAGTTGGTAAGTAAAAAAAAAAAAAGGTGAATAAACTCGGGATGATAAGAGATGCAAGTTTGTTTTCTCCAACTTCCTCCAACTTCGTTCCCTTTTTAGATTTGTCTTCGTTTTATCAGATGTCAGTGGGTGGAAATGGAATTTGGCTTACTTTTTTTTTTTTTTTAAAGGGAGCTGCCTTTAAGCCGTAAAGATTTTAAATATTTCTTTCATTTGGGGAAGCGGGGGAAGGATTTTGTGAAGAGAAGTTGCTCATTCTTTGGCGAACTCTGACAGCCTCAGGGAGACACACCTCTACCCCAGTCCTGATTGAGTGTAGAGAAAATCAAAATGATGTCATACTTTCTTCTCAAACTTTATCCCATTTGGGTACTCTATTTATATCACATTACCAGCAAGTCACTTCATTTTCTGGGTCCTAGCACCAGTCAGTTAGGAAGAAAACAGGAGATTCAGAAGATGTGCAGATGGCCCAGGGAAGGAAAACAGAGACATTGTGAGAAGGAACCAAGAGGGTTATAAAGGAACCAAGGGGTTATAAAACTTGGGGTTTTATAAATGATGAATGAGAGTTGAGGGTGTGTGCTTTCTTTAAGTAGGAAAAAAAAGGAGTCTTGAGGACAATCCTACAGAATCTTATTCAGTAGCAAATGCAAAAGGCATTTAGTGTCAAGTATAAAAGTTCTAACTCTTCCTGTGGATCAGGAGAATTCTCTGTTGACCCCAAAGCATCGTTCTCAGCTTCTTCCAAATTCTCCCTTTGGGGTAAAGTTGGGATTTTGTTAATGGCTGCAGACAGACACCCACAGGGAAACCAACTTGGTGCCCTTCGGATATTTGGGATTTGGGGGTACAATCCATGCTTGAGGCGGACAGAAGATGTCATTGAAAATTTCAGGAGGCCCTCAAATGCTGCTGGGCAGAGAGAGGCAAGGAAAATGCGCATTAATTTTGACACTGGGGAGGCTTGGCCTTTGCGAATTCAGATCCAAAACTGACACTCCGACTGGTGAAGGGGCAACTGAAGCTTGTATCAACCGTGATGATGGGGCAGAACCCACCACGAAGCCAAAAGCTAGAAGCTTGGTTTAAGAGTGCAGCGATGGACCCCTTAAATCTGCAAGTTTCCAGCTGTTAATGACCCAGCAATCCCAACTCACTGAAAATCAGCATAACCCCTGGTTTCTTGGTTTGCATCAGGAGGACATCAAAGAAGATGGCCTCGGTAGTCTATTATACCGTGCATAGACTTTGTCTTCATCTATTATCTGAACGCCTGTGTCTGTTTCATTAGTTGCTCAAGGGCACCACCCTCAGGCAGAACCGTGAAAGTACAGTTTAAGGAAGGAGGAGAAAAAAGGCAGAAACAAGACAGAAATATAGGGTTTATTTTGCTTTCATTGTCCAGAGAGGAAATCTAATGGGTACCCAGAAGCAAGCCGAAAAAGCAAGTTGCTAAACTGGTGAACAGTGCAGCGATGATGAATGGGGAGCAGAAAAAGCAGATGCCACATATTGAATATAGGATATTAAACGTGCACAGGCACAATCAATGAGTTATTCTGATGCGATGTTATTTCACAGGATGAATCATCTGTTACAGTTGTACCCTGATTTTCCAGTGATGCTTCCGACCACATGATACTGACTGTTGGGATAAGGGAGAGGTCTGTAAAATGCACAATGGGGAGAGACTGGAATGGAGAATCCTGGAAAAGGGCATGGGTGAGGGACTGGCTGGTTTTTCTAAACAGAAATACACCATGCTGTTACGTTTGCTGCAGATCCCCTTAAAAAGGCATGGAATAACCAAGAGATATCAGGGGGGATCTGGTTCCCCTTTGCCAACCTACATTCTCACCAAGCCATGTTCTGGAATTGGTGGCCCACCAATTCCCCCGAAAATGCATCTTTTGAAACTGGAGCTGGATTCAAGTTAGCCACTCCGTGCACCTGATGAAGGGAGCTGCAACTTGCAAAAGCAGATGCCTTTTAATACAACATGTTAGTCTGAAAAAGTCCTACCACACCTCTCCTGCTTTTTGGCTACTATAGACGAAGATGATTCTTCTCCCAGAATCTGTGCAATGCAACTTCCCAACTGAGTCCCAGTTGGCCAGATTAATACATTGGTTTGTTTGGGGGGGGGAGGGGGGGGTTGGTGTCTTTGAATCAATCTTGACTCCTGGCGACTGCCTGGAGAAGTCCCTGAAGTTTTCTTGGCAAGATTTCAGAAGTGGTTTGCCATTGCCTCCTTCCTAGG